CGTACCTGGAAAATCAGGTACTATTTTAAACTGATTGACTGTGAATGGGTTCAGTGTTATGTGCAGACACTAAGACTAGGGACAAACATTACACAAGCTGGTTGAATTAACCAGAAACAGATTTAAACCTGTAACAGAACAGAAGTTCACTGCACATAAACCAGTTTCAAAATGGCTGAAACCACTTTGAGATAAACTTGGTTGAATGTAGTATCAGACTTAAATGATTGAGGTCAAACTGATTTATGGAACTTCTGTTCCAGACCCCTTCCTGGTTTAAGTTACAGCAGAGTCCCCCAACATCCCAGCATGCTTGGCAGCCCTGGGCTGGGCTGCACTATCTGTTCCAGACAATCGGGGTTGGCCTGACCCCTCTCCTCCCTAGCTGGACCACTATCACTGCTTCAGCTGGCTGAGAAGGGGGTGGAGGGTGCAAAACCCTGCTCTGGAGTACAGCCAGGTCTGCTGACAGGGGAGCAGCAGCCCCTGCCAGGCATCCCCATCCTCCCTTGTTGCTGCAGCGACAGGAGCAGGAGCATGGCCAGACACTGGTAGCCTGAGGGAAAGGGGAGGGTTTAATTCCCCCCATTGCAGCAGGGAGCAGTGCGGGAACCGACAGGCTTCGCTCATGCACCCAGGGCCATGGTGGCCAGACATGATAGCCTGAGTGGAAGGAGGGAGTGGCATGGACACCGAAAAGACACTGGCTCCATCCTGTGCTGAAGATCCCCCCAGGCAAGGCCTGGGCAAGTCCCTTGAAGGAGCGGCGAGAGGTGCTTGATGCCGAGGCGGCAAGGAGGGGGAGGACAAGGGAGGATATGACCTAGTCGCAGGCGCGGAAGGGGGATGGTGGGGAGCCTGGGGTAATCATGGAGCCCGACTCACTGTTACCTCCTACTGCATTAGTACAGCCCGAGCTGGGGCAGCCCTAGGGGGCGGGGTCAGCACCTGCTGCTTCCCATCTCCAGCCCCACATGAGGGCCACGGTTTGCAGGCAGACTGCACCTGGAACATGGCTCCCTGCCCCTCTCTCTCTGTGCTGTGGTGTGGCATGGGCTTTGCCTGAGGGGATCTTCAGTGTGGGACAGAGCCAGTGCTATGTCGGTGCCCATGCTACTCCCCCCTTTCCCTCAGGCTACCGGTATCTGGTTGCTGTGACCCCAGGTGCAGGAGCGGAGTCTGTTGGTGGCCCCACCACCACCATGGGGGCATTAAACCCCCTTCTCCTTGGAATACTGGGGTCTGGCTATGCTCCTGCTCATGCCACTGGACCTCTGGCAGGGCTGCTTCCCCCCTCCAGGGTGGGGGTTTAAACCCCTCCCATCATACTCAGGGCTGCTAGGGCCTGGCCACACCACCCCCCCAGCACAGCTTCCCTGCAGACCTGGCTTCTAGCCTGAGCCACAGCAGGCATGCGCCTGCATTTCTGGAATCAAAAGTGAATGTCTATTTACTTGCAAATCAGTTCAATCTACACAGGTTAAACTAACCTGCAAAGATTGAATCAATTCAGGCTTGGCCTTTTTTAATGTGTCCCTAGCTTAACTGTCCTGTAACACAGATCTGGCTTCCAGGCAGCCCACACTGCATCACTCCTCAACTCCATCCACTGCTGCAACAGGTTGCTCTGATACAGAGCCAGAATTTGACTGCTTCCCTCTCCTTTTTTCCCCTTTGGTTTGTACTTTTAACCTCCCCTTGCACTGCATGTTTATAAGAGCTTTCTTCCTAACAACCACCTATAAGCAAACTCCCTACTTGACCACAGACACTTACAATGGTTCACTACTCTCTGGGAACCAAAAAGCTTGGGTTCAAACACTGCAGCAAGCCACTGCAAAGTTCAGTCATTTGCTGGCATTTTAAATTTACTGAACGCATGTTTAAGAGAAAAGGAAAAGTAGAAAGGTGAAAATGCCCCCCAGGAACAGGTCACCCATTCCCTGCAACTTCCAAACCATGGGTGCAAGAACTACCTCTTCCTCAACTTGCCCACTGTAAGCCATACTGGGCTAGGCCTCACTCTTCCCCTCCCCCTGTTGTCAAGTAACAGTATCTCACACAATTCTGAACAGTTTCCCAATCAGCAATGTTTAGGAATGATTCAATTGCATTGCATGTCTGTATCCTCAGTTTTTCATTAGTTCATCATCCATTGGTGTGAGTTGTCCAGAAAGTGGGATATTGATTCTGAAGTAAAGGCAGGATGGGAACAAATGAAGATTTTCGTATAAGATATCACTTTTCTTAAGCGTGATGAGATGCTAGATTCCAATGATAAGGAGCTGAGTTACCCATTACTAAAATGTGATGAGGAACATTTGAATTTTTTGAGAGAGATACGATATTACATTTTAGAAAGTACCCTGATTTGTCCTAGAGGGGTCTCTTCCAAACTAAAGTAGGTGCAATTAGGAAAATACACATCTTGCAGGTAACAGACTTGTACACTGCACAGTATCTGGTGAAGCTTCAGCTTACACAAGTAATTCCATCAACTCACCTACATTCTTGGACCCTTGCTATGGCACAGCAGGAGATCTAAGAGCAGCTGTGCAGCAATTTCACCCTCTTAGAGCCATATATAATTCCTTTAAATGCCCTTCCCGGGGCACTTAAACTATTGGTGTTACGCAGATATGAAGCTTAAAGATTACATAAGATCTGCCATCTACTAGGTCACATCAGGTCCATCTTGTCTAGTATTCTGTGCCACAGTGGCAGAAAATGGATGTTGAAAGGGAAAGCAAGAGGGGTATGGCCAGGTTTTTTCAACTGTTGCTCTCCCACTTGCAGCTTCCAGTATTTAAGGTCTAGGAAGTTCTGGTTCAGAAGCTATATCCCCAACTCCCAGGCTCAGTAACTACTGATTCTCCTTTCCTCCAAGAAGTTGTCTAATCCTTTCTTGAATCTGGCTAAACTGTCATCTTCCACACATCTTGTAGCAATGAGTTCCACACTTAAACTGCATGCTGTGTAAAAAATAACTTCCTTCTGTTAGTTTTAATATTATTACCTACTAGTTTTCTCTTATGACCCCTAGTTCTTAAAATCAGAAAGACCGTAAATAATAAATCCCTACTTACCTTCTCTTCACCATTTAGTATGTACCCCCTCAAACATCTCTTTTCTAAGTTGACTAGGCCTAGCCTCCTTAGTCTCTCTTCATGTGGAAGCCCTTCCCTACTGCTAATCATCCTTGTTGCCCTTCTCTGTACCTTCTCTAATTCTTCTATACCTTTTTTGAGGTGTGGGGACCAAAACTGGGTATAGCATTCAAGGTGTGGATGCACCATGGAATTACAAAGGGGTATAATGACACTTGTTCATAATTTCCTTCTTAATAATCCCTAGCATTTTATTTTCCTTTTTGACTCCCAGATCTCTTGTCTGTGTGGTAACCGCTAATGTAGAGACCATCATATTGTAAATATAGTTTGGGTTATTTGTTGTGACCATGTGCATCACTTTACACTTATTTAATCTGAATTTCATCTGCCATTTAGATACCCATTCACTCAACAGTGCCAGATCCTTCTGTAGTCTCTTGCAGCCCCACTTGGTCTTGGAATAATTTTGTGTCATCTACAAATTTGGCCACCTCACTACTCACCCTCTTTTTCAGATCATTTATGAATATTAAACAGCACCAGTCCCAATACTGATCCCTGCAGGACCCTACTGTTTACTTCCTTCCAGCCTGAAATCTGACCATTTAAACTCATTCTTTTTTCTATCTTTAAGCCAAATTCCTGTGATTAGATATGTCCCACTGCACTGGACACCCACTTTTAAAAAACATAACATATCTAATTATTAAACAGCTACTGTTTCTCACTTTCTTAAAAAAAACTGAAGCCTAAAGTAAGGCTTCTGAAGCCTTACATTTCTACCAATTATAAACTATTATGTATTAATCATAATTACTTTTTCCCCGTGAAAATTTTATTTTGAATTTAAAGTCTCTATGCACTATTATCTTAGACATTTAAAGTACGTTTCTATTTAAAAATCCCAACAAACTAAACTAAAGAGAGAACTGGTTAAACTTTTATACCACATTGTCTGCACAATGATAAGCTCAGTTTCGGTGGCCCATTTTACTGCTGTGTTTTTGTTAATTTATAATGAATGGTTTTTCAAAGTCATGTTGCCTCCACATAGTAGTTTTATCAGTCATTCTCTGTTATTCAGAAGTTTGTTACTTATGCTTTGTTCAATACACATTCCCTGCTTCAATTTCCAGACAGCAACAAAAGCAAATGGAAGGAGGTGATTAAATGTTGAGCAGCTACATGTTCTGCTATGCTGATTTGCACCACATGGGACTATTTGTATAGTACTGTGGAGTGTAAATGGGCTATTTTAGGAGAGATAAGTATCACCTGCGTGTTAACATGGAAGGAATAAAAAAAAATGTACACAAGGATATCGTATTCCTACACTGATTAGAAAGTGCAGTTAGAGATAGAAACTCTAACACGTTTGTAAGTAAACTGCTTTATCTCAGAAGACCAAGGAAAAAGCATTTTAGAAATTAACATGAGAAGAAGCTGACCAGTTTAGAACTACTGCAAAATATTAATTCATTTTAAATGCAATTGTAAGTATTATTTCTGATTCTTACCTTCCCAACTAAAGATCCATAAACCACGCTGGTATAACCATCTATAAACAGAGATGGTGTAACCAGTATAGTTCTCAGACATTCCCAGGAACTCGCATCGATTTAAACCAACAAACACTGCAATGCCACCACAACTGAGCATTAGGAAATAAAACATGAGGTTTGTATAGAAGTAAACAGTTTTTAAATGGGAGAATATGGTAAACATAAAAGAACAGGTAGATTTAAGCCATACAAACCACATCCAGAATAACTCCAATTCCCAAATCCCAACAAAGAAGTTAGGTAGGCTGAAGGAAAGCCTGCACACAAATCTAAAGTTACTGTCTTCAGCACAACAATATGAATAAAATCTAAATTTGGTCAAATTTACCTTTCTTGCAGCATGTATGTCGAAAAATGGCTTGTTTCGAACACTGAATGGTTCCTGTGCTTTGTCAATAAGACCATTCTTCATCTTTTCGTGTCGTGGAAATATAATCTCTTTTTCTATGCACGCGAGTCGAACATTAAAATCACAATCTCCAACTGGCTGTCTCTGCCAAGTTAGACAAAATTAATTTCAAAACCAAATACCTATCAAGTTACTTAAATAAACTAATGTTTGACTTGCAAAATATTTACAAACATGCACTGATCATCAAATTATTATAAGATATACATATTTCCTCCAAAGTTGCAGCTTGTATGTATTTATCTAGGACAAGAGATATCTGATCCAATAATGACTTATGTAAAAAAAATAAATGCCCTGATCAACTGCTATGCTCAAGATCTAAGGGTAGAGAAATTCATTGCCTAAATACCTTTAAGAGTCTGGCCATCAGAGAACAAGTAATGCTTTCAAGTAATAAAGCAGATTATTATCCAAATATGCTTATGAAAAGCAACCATAACCTGTTTTTTGGTACAGTATTTTCTGCCTAATCCTGTATGAACCAAGACAACAATTACATTTTACAATGACAATACAACAATGCCACTTCCACAGCTAAACAAATCCCTTGCTTCAAGTACATTAAAGACTTTGCAATCAGAATTAGAGATGTACATGTATTGTCTCTGTTATGAAACGTACCCTGTTGGGGGGTGGGGGAGAAGGGAGAAAAAAAACATGGTTATAAAAGTTTAGAAAATCTGTGAAGAAACAGTAATGGCAACAAAAACTAACAGAATGTCAGCCATATAAAGATACTAAAAAGTTCTAGCGTAATTCTCAGCGGTATACTGTGACCTTTCAAGAGCTGAAACGAATCACAAACTACATCATTTAGTGCAATGCATCAGATCAATAAGGCTGTTCAAAACACACATCTGGCACATCAACATTGACCATAATGGGGTTTGTTACCTTTGGATTGCTACACAGTGGTAGCAACATTCTGTACTTGCCATTATCTGAATACATACAAGCTACATACAAATTTTAATGCTAATTTTGGAAATGTTAATGTAAATAAAATGGATCCATTTACAGAAACAAAAGATATAACTTATACCTAAGTATTTTTTATCCAGTGTAAAATATTTAACTTATTCAAACTAGACTATTCATCATCTGCTCTCTCTCACACAACTTGTTAAGCTTAAAAAAAAGTCCTCCTTGACCTTCAGAAAGCAAGTCTCAAAAGTTTCAGCCTAAGTGATGAAAGTTTTGAAGAGTTAAAAGCAATGAAAACAGGAAACCAGAAAAGCAAGAGAGGACTCTATTGCAGTTGGCAGACATGGGGATTAGCACAAGCATCAGTCACAGGGGCTTCCCAAATCAAAGGCTGATATGGGAGGAGAAAAAGGAGGAGAACTTAAACAATGGGAAAGAAAAGCAGGCATTCATTTTTCCAACACATGTCAAAAGGAATAGGACAAATTTAAAAGAAAAATTAAACAGCAAACTATATGCAATTAAATTAATTTCTAATTAATGTAAAACCATAAAGTAAAGGAGATTGAACCAGGAAAAAACAGAGAAGCTATCTTAAATTTCAAGTCAGAGAAATGATGAAATGAAAGGTTTAAACAAAGAGGAGTTTGCAATGCAACATCAAGAGTCTTTTTTTTTTTTTTTTTTTTTTTTTACAAGGCAGCCTCCTGGCTCCATTCTCACCTACTAAGGCCCTAAATCTCCCCCCAGAAACCTCCACATTCCAGGTGTCCTCTTCCTCCACCCATTTATGGCCCCAGAAGACCCAGCTTTCCCCCCAACCAAAATTATTGTCTCCTCTTTTCTAAGTCTTAAATTATCTAGTGGGACCAAAGAGACCTCCCCTTCCCTCAGATGCAAGCTCTCTGAGCAACAGCTCTCTTATCATTCCAAGAAGCCTTCCTGATCACTGCTGCAGAGCACAGAAAGAACCTCTGAAACTTTCTCCAACCCAAAATGGACAGTTCTGCATAGTCACTTCACAGCTAGGGACAGACATTATACATAAACCAGTTTAAGTGGTCAGAGCAGACATTTAGTGCACATAAACCAGTTTGAAAATGGCCAAAACTGGTTTAAGATAAAGCTGGTTGAATGTAGTATCAGACCTAACTGAACTGGCTCAAACCAGTTTATGCAATGTCTGTCCCAGACCCCTTCCTTGTTTAAGTTACACCAGATTCCTCCAACATCCCAGCATGCTCTCTCGGCTAGGCAGAGCTCTGCTCTCTGCTTCAGAAAGCTGAGCTGGCCCCTCCCCTCTGCTCTATAGCTGGAGCAGGGACAGGTAGTGGCCAAACTCTGGCCTGCCATGGCCCCGGAGACAAATTCCTCCCTCCGTCCCATTTTCCCCTGCTGGCAAATCTTGCAGATCACAGCTGGAGTTTGCCAGCCCCAGCTGCACCTCCATGGTTTGCCTGCAGCCAGGCAGGAAGGGAGTTAGACAGCTTCACCAAATACTAATGCAAAGCTGTGTTCAGTTTTACTGTTCTTATGTGTTATAGTAATTGATATGAAAGTAATTTTCATATATCTTTATATTATAGCCAAGGTTGTATCAGTAAGGCAGTGATTAACCTGAGGAGCCCTTAGCTGTTCACATCTAGAAGAACCAATGTATGTAAGTTAGCATCGACTTGGGTTCCCCCTCTCCACCAAGAAGTGAAGGAGTGATGCATGTTTATAGCCAGACTGGCAATGGTACATAAAACCTGTCTCAAACGTGTGGCTTCGTCTTCAGTGTTCCTGGGTAAAAGGGCATATGAGGTTCTTGCTGGGAAAATCAAGTTGACTGAGAGATGCAAAAAGCTCTGGCGTGATGCAAGAAGTAGGGATTACAGTCTTTCTCTGAAAAAGCTCGGTGAGGAGTGAATATTTGGCTGTAACATGCAGGGTAAAAAGAGGTTAATGGTCCTTTATAAAAATTTGTTTACTTTTATATCTCTGTCTCTAATCTCAATGTACGGTTACTGATTTCTCATGCTTGTTCTGTTTTTATAATAAATCCTTTTGTTGTCCCTTTACTGATTGCCTGTGGAAGAGGTGACTTCCAGGCAAGTGATAATCCAGGCTGATTCTCTTCCTACAGAGAGAGGAACCTATAATTTCTTCTCAATCCAAAAATGGGGTAGCCACCTGGGGTTGGAAGAGATTCCTTCACAACAAATAAGACCCCGGTATAAGCATAGAGAAATGGAGGTTTGCTTGGATAGCTATCCCAGGGCAACTGCAGTCAGTTCCTTGCAGCAAGTATCTGCACAGTAAGGAGAAACTTGGGTTTGTAGGAGTTTCCCACAGATGGGTTTGTGGTGCTAATGATTAACAGCCACACAAACTTATTTTGTATTTCCAATTTGGACAAGTCTGAGAAGTTACTACCTTATTCTCATAAGGATTCCTCTATGAGTCTTTCCTGGTATTTTTTTTCCATGTTCAAAATAACATTAAATCCAATTATTTTTTTCCTAAGCACATTCCACCAGAACCTTCTGCTAGAGGTGTATTGATACATCAATCCAATGTCGAATCAGCACCAATATAAAGAAAATTGACTGCATCGGAAATCAGCCTAATGTGACTGATAATTTGGCCAATAAATGGCCCATGCATGAGTGCAGCCACAGGGAAGCACACAGATGGCAAGGCGCACAGCCCAGCAGCTTGGAGACCTGTGTCCAGCTGGTAAGCCTGTTGTGGTGAAAGGGTAGGGGGAGGGAAGTGGCTTCTGGGAGCAGATCAAGACCGCTGCAGTGAGGAAGGGAGTGGGGCTTGGGCAGGCAGGGTACGAAACAGAGCTGCAAGCAGCTCACCCGGGAGCGTGGGAATGGGGGGGCTCCTGCTGCTGTGTGCACCCTCAAAGGGCATGGGGAAGGGCATGTGCCCCTGGATCTGCACAGGGCAGGATGGGGCTGGGCAGGTGGCAGTTGTGGCCTGGGGCCAGGGCTGCACTGTGCTTCAGGCAGGTGGTGGTGCTGGGAGGGCTGTAGCCACACCAAAATCTGCCGTAGCTCCCCCACACCCCCATCCCAGCTGTGGCCCCAGCTTGCAGCTGCAGCCTGCCCCACCCCAATCCAAGGGCACATGCCCCCCATGCCTCCTGGGGTGAGCGCAGCAGCAGGAGCTGCCTCCCCCTGCACCCCCCAGAGGAGCTGTGGCTCTGTACCACACCCCTCCCTGCCCAGGCAGCACCTGTCCCAGCCCCACTCCCTCCCTCACTGCAGGGGCCTCAATCTGCTCCCTCCTCCCCACATTCCTTCCCTTCCCTCTCCTCTTCCACCACAACAGACTTACCAGCTGGACACTGTTCTTCAAGCTATGGGGCTGCATATCAAAAATCAGACTGGTATTGGTCGATATGCATCCTTAAAAAAAACGGCCCCAAAATCTCTATCAGTGCACCCCTACCTTCTGCTTTCCAATATCCCTACATCCCCACTAAGTCCCTTCTTATGAGAAACTTTGCACAACCAGAGAGCTAATATTTAAAATTAGCAACCTGAAATAACCTGGAAAGAATGTTTACACTATTATTTTACAATATTCATTTAAATAAGCTTTACTGTAGTAGCAGAAATTAATCTGAAGCTTTTAAAAGTCTGTAACTTCAATTAATTTATTTAATTCCACATGAATCTTCTAATCACCTAAATCTTTCTTCCTTAAAGACTCCTTTGACTTCTCACACTTATTCTGAAGTAGTTGTAGCTCTGAGACTCATCTTTTATTTCAAGGCTTGTTAAGAAAAAGGTACGTTGGCACTAGTATCCTGACAAAGGTCAAAGCTTAGTTGAAAGAAGAGCATATAGCTTTGGGACAACATGGCAAATGGAGGTAATTTCTCCATCAGCCAAATAAACTGAAAATAAATGTATGTTTCACTCTCTCTCAAAGCATTTAATTTTAGAAATAAACAGAAAATTAGCATAACTTTGAATTTAAAATCAAAGACATATTGAATTCAAGTAATGTTGGGAAGGTTTTTCTTTGTTATTACTTCACCATAATTAGCAAGTGTTGCTTAAAGAATGGAATAAAAAGCACTAGAAAGAAAAACAAGATCAGACTGGGACAAGTCTGACTTAAGTCTCAAGATGGTAAAACCCCAGCTTTTAGCAAAA